CTGTCATTTAACTTTATATAAAATCATGTTAGACCTGTTAATGATGATCATTCTGAGATTAATCTTATTTGGAAATGATTCCAACTTCTTATTCTTTTAGTATGTTGCTCGGTTCAGTTTTCCAAATTATACTTTAATTACTACCTTTTTATGAGAATGGTGAAACAAAACAAAGCAAAACAGTGTTATATATTAATACCAGCCCATTTTCACATTTTTGGAAAGTTGATAATATTTAGTTGTTCTTGTGCATGTGTTTTAATTTTTAAAATTTTGTTTTAAATTGATTAATTATGAGGTGTAATATTTGCATCTAAATTCATTTATGATTTTGGTTTATAAAGTACTTCTTTGCTAGTTCAGCTTTTGTGTGTAGACTATACTGACATAAACATGAATTTTCTACAGCCAATGATTATTAGACTAACAGAATTTATTTGTTCTTTTCTTTGATTGTGAGGTAGAACTTCAAATCTAAGACTCTGCAGGTGACTTTTTAAAAAGTAGACTTCCAGATTAGTTTATGTTTGGTCAGGCCAATTTTCTCCCTTAGCCCTGGTAGCTCACCTATTTTCTTGGGATTTCCAAATATTGCCACTTAAGTAGTATATATTTATTTTCTCTATTCTTTAATCACAGCTTTCAAATATTTACCCATTTTATTCATTATTTTAATAAACTAGCTTTAGCTTTTACTTATTCTTGTTTCATGTATTTATTTTCTTTCAATAAAATAAGTTCCCTAGCAAGACTGTGATGAGATGAGTGAGACACTCTGTATACTAAAAAGGGGGCCAAAAACCTCAATAATCAAGACAAGTTATATTTTAATGGAATCCCTTTTTTTTATTTTTTGAGAGATTTTTTCTGTAGGGTGCATGCGCTCACCAGAGAGACAGAGAGAGGGAGATACAGGGAGACAGAAAGTGAGAAATTACCCCCAGTGGGAATGGCCATACCACAATCCCTTCTCCTCCATTCTCCTCTTGGGATTTTGGGCATGCACGCATATGTGCCCAGGGTGATTTTCAAGCCTCTGAGTCTAGTACTTGAGCCATGGTTGGCCATGTGGGAGTCCAGCAATATAACCAGTAAGCCGTATGCTGGTCCCTGGAATCCTTTTTTTTAAAAAAATCACTAGTGAGCACATGTGCATGACAAAAAGAGAGAGAGTGAGAAAGCACCACCAGTGGGGATTGGCCATGCCCTAATCCCTTCTCCTCCGTCTCTTCCTCCTTTCTGGATTTTGGGCACATATGCACACCCACCTGGCGTGTTTCTCAAGGCACTGGGTCTGGAACACAAACATCACAGTTGGCCATGTGGAATACAGCTGCCTCAACCACCATCCCACCCGCTGGCCCAGAAACACTTCTATTTTTTTTAAGAATTACTTATTTAATTGTATTTATCTTCATCATTATTATTATTTTAATTTGCTACAGGGCACATGTGCTCATTAGAGAGAGAGAGAGACAAGGCAGGAAAGCAAGCTGCCAGGTCCAGGACTGGAATCATGGCCAGCCATGTGGGAGTTTAGTGCCTTAACTACCACACCACCTACTGACCCACAGAAATACTTTTTAAAAACATCAAATTAATGCAGAAACATCCATGTTGGATTAAAAATTTTAAATAAAGACAGGATCACTAATGCTAATTTTTCTTTTGCCTCAGGGTCTAATATGGCTTTACCATAGCACTGCTAATTTTTTTTTTTTTCAGGTGTGTAGAGCAGTCTATGTTCTCTGTGACTAAGAATCCCTCTTTAGTAATCTTTGGTGAAATCTGTTATTTTTAGTCTAATGAACATTGTGTAAGAATCTATTTTGTATGACACAACCAGGTATGGATACTCAGATGACCCAAATGCTTACATTCTAGAGAGAAGACAAATATACAGATGTGGAAAGTTTGGTGATATTAGAGGAAAGAAAAATCAGAGAAAAGCTTATCTGGGCAAATAATAGCAGGCTTACAATTTTATTGCTCTGGAATAACTGCCAAAATCCACCAGGTGGTAGAGTAAAATGAGTTAACAGTACAATTTAACTTACATATTTTCCTAGTTGGAGATGTAATTTTTATAGAGAAAGCCACAATTATATCTCTATATTTTTATCCATATTCTACTTATGAGTTTTCTATTACATCTTTAATATTTATAAATCAGAACATATGTGTTGAAAGATTAAAGATTTTTAGTAACCTGACATCCTTTCTAGTGCAAGACAATATGTAAACAATTGAACAAAAGGTCTAGTTTCAAATAAGTCCAGGAATACAATTTAAAGCAAAAGGAAAAGATTCAAAGGCAAACACTCCTAAAAGATGATTATCATAAGCCTCAAGTTTTAGTAAAAGATGAGATATTAATATTAGTCATCTTAGCTAGAATTATTATTGTCCAAAAGATTAAGATAATTGTATTCTATTTCGTATAGTTCTTGTGTGACCTACTTTTCTCCTATCCAGAGATTTTTCAAATCAAACAAATTGATCTGAGTGTATAATTCACTTCTCATGTATATCTTTATTCATTATTAATAATGCCAGAAATCTTTTGTGCATTAAAACATATAAAATTATTTTTAATATGAATCCAAATTTAGGTTTAAATGACTTGCCTTAAGTCATAAAATTAATCAGTAGTCCAACCATCATGCAATCTTGTGGTCTTCAAAGTCCTGCTTTGCATCATGTTTTCCCATTTAACAATGCCATCGTATGATGAAGATGAATTCAGACAGTGCTAGCAACCTATGTTGACATTCCAGGATCTGCAGGATTCTAAAAAGACGTAAAAGATTAAACAACTCTCCCTGAGGAAAGTAAAATGTAATGGGATTGACGGTATAGGAATAATTATACTTTACGGCAAATAAAAATGTATATAGTGAGAAAACATTCAAACAGATATATAACCATATGTTATGGACCAAAATACTATCCTATATAAAAACTGAGTGCAATTAATTCTATCTACAAGTATCTGAGTGGTTACTGGGTGCAACAAATTATATTAGATACTGAAATATTTTTTTAAGGACATTATAATATAATAGTGTGTTCTAGTTCAGGTTAATTTGTTCATCCTAAATTTTTTTAAATGGCTAATAATGTAGCACGTTTTATTTCTAACCTAGGTTTTTAAAAATAAAAATATGATTATAGTAACCTAATATTAAATTGTAAACATTAAACCAATCACTATTACTAGTAAGTGTTAGCTTTAGGATTTTTCTCCTCTTGAAAAGGTATAAGGACATTTTTGGACACACAAAATGTGTCCTTGCTGCTCTTATTTATTAGAGCCCATTCATATGGTAGTTTCAATAACTATTTGCTAAATTGAAAAGCATGTGTCCCCTTGTCTCCCAGAATTTCAGAGTCCTGGATTTTCATGTAGCTGCTGCTGCTGTCTGTCTCTGCCATTCTCATCTAGAACACTTCTGCTCTGGCTTTGGGCAGTCTCATCCATTCTCTTCACATACTTGCAATTGACTCCTAACCCAGCATCCTTAAACTTGACCTTTCTAAATCTAGCATTTCAGATAAACCTCTCATATTTCTGCTTTCTTATGCACATTCCTCCTTAAATTAACCCAAAATCAAACTCATGGTCTTGCCTTTTTAAAATTAGCACCATTTTCCAACACTCCTATTTCTATTGGTGTTAACAAGGGTGCCATGTACCACTGTGCAGCTTGCACCCAAACAGAAGCACTTGGCATATACCATTCACACACGGTGTCCTTGAGAACAGGGCGTGTCAGCCTTGGGACTGGCCTTTAGCCATTGCTCCACTCAAAGAAGATGCCTTCCACCAGTCCACACAAAGGTGGCCCATATGTTCTTGGAAGCCTTGAATATTACTACTATTTTTTTTTTAATGATCTGTTTTGGAAACTCTGAATCTGCATTCTTTCATCCCTCTTTTAGGCCCCCATAATATAATAATATAATTACATTCACTTCTTTCTTTTCATTCACAGTGCCAGGGAGCTCGCCCCAGAACTATTTCAATGACCTCTTTACTTGAGTCTTCCCCTATGTCCTCTCTCTAGTCCTTTCTTTCTTTCACCCTTCTACAGGTTACCCTTCCTTAAAGCATAGTTTTATCTTGTCATTTCACTGCTAAATAATTTCACGGGTTCCCTGTTTTGCTTGTTATTAAGAACAAGCTCTTCAACTTGTCATTCTTTAACCAGCCAGAGTCTAAAATATTTATGATCCCTTGCACAATATATTGCTGCTTGTAAGAATTCAGTAAATATTTGTTGAATCATTAAATTTAAGATCTTCCACAATAGGTCAACACCCACTTTCCTCCTAATTCCAGATAGTCCCCTGCATGTACCCAGGCACCTTTGTGAATTTCTTTGTATGTACAAAATCACTCCTTAATGATCTTGGCTTCATAACCTTGGTCTTACTGATTCGTTCACCTAGGGCATTATCAATAGCCAATTCCAGAAGGTCCCTTCCTGTTCTTCTCTACAAAATTTCCTTGTCTTGTTCCTGTCTCTATCCCTTCCTTCAGATTGATTACCACATTTATTGTAGCTAACCTACCATGTTCTTTTCTTGTTTCGAGGTCATCTTTGGTTTGTTCCTCTCACTATGTGTTAAACTTCTTAGTTTAGCAAGTCTGTCTGTCTTGTCTTTGCCTCGTCTTAAACTTCAAGTTCAATGAGGCATATGTTTATCTTCAGTAAATAATTGTCTAGTTGGAAACCATCACACAATTACCTAGTTTTACCTGTCCAAAGACAGATTGACCAGCCATTTGGCTTTGCAAAAGAAAGTTACAATTTCATAAAAAATGGAAAAGAAAAATGATTACCTAAGAGCCTATTGTCTTCAGATTTTTTTCCCTGACAGCCATTAGACTATAGGAAGAAAAAAAATTGATACCATGGGTTTAATATGTCCAATATATGATCAAAATAACTCATTCTAGTTTTTAATTTTTTTAATTTTTATTTATTTATTTGTAGAGAAATGCCGAATTCCAAGAGCATGAAAAGATTCTGTCTCCAGATTTTCTTTCAGTTTCCCAGATCACTGATATGCTGACAGAGGACGCAGATGGAGTTCAAGAGTAAGCACTTCAGTATTATAGTCAAATAGAGAATAGTTCTAGTTCTGCATCTAAAAATGATTGTAATATATTTTTTATATATTGTATGCTTTTTTCCAAGCTATTGTTATTAAATTATATACTGAAACACATCCAGACTCTAAAACACTATAATTCTCAAATAACTGACTTTTTGTACTGATCTGTAGTGTTCTTTATGGGAAAAACACATTGCAGGCTAACTTGTTCAAATTAACCAAGAGTAGAATTTATTGCTAAAAGCTTCTAGCATATGCCATCTTCTTCCTCTTTTCTTTTCATTCATAAAACTGTCGGCATGCATAGTGACCTAATAGGCCTTCCACCTCATTATAGGAAGAGTACTTTGTGTTTTCCATAATAGTAATAGTCAATGCATTTTATTATTTTAGAAATCCTGACTATTAGCCATTCACCTGTGATTTTTATCAGAAATGAAGCTATAATAAGTACTGTTTCTTAAAAATGTGAATAGAATGATTTCAGGCCACTTATTTCTATAGTTGGTAATTTACTTGGAACTTTAGTCAGATATATCCTCAATATTAGCCATCCACCTGTGATTTTATTTTTTTTGAAGAGGTTTTTGCTACAGTGTGTGTGCACTTGAAAGAAAGACAGAGAGAGACAGAGAGACAGAAAGCCAGAAATCACCCCCCAGGGGGATGGCCATGCTGCAGTTCTCTTCTCTTTCATTCTCCTCTTGGGATCTTGAGCACGCATGCACATGCGCCCAGCATGAGTTTAAGCCACTGGGTCTGAGACTTGAACCGCGGTCGACTACATGGGAGTTTAGTGACATAGCCGTTACGCTAACTGTTGGTCCCCACCTGTGATTTTTATCAGAAATGAAGTTATACTAAGTACTGTTTCTTAAAAATGTGAATAGATGACTTCAGGCCACTTATTTCTACAGTTGGTCATTTATTTGGAACTTTAGTCAGATATATCCAACAAAGCAATTTCCTAAAAAGTGTTGTAAGTAATCCTTGTCTAAAAAATTTTCCCCTTTAAAACGGAAGCCAGATTAGCCATAATGTGGGTATGATGTTTTATACTGGATTGTGGTATCCTGAGGTTAGGCCTCATGACACAAGCAGTATCATCATGGACAAAAAGAAAACAATCTATAAGTGACTATCATTGGGAAATCTTACAAGTATTATAGAAAAGAGATGACTTTCTACTGAGAAGGAGATACGTAATGACTGGAAAAGAAATCTGAGGAGGAAAGCTTGCGAGAGCAGGCAAATAATACTGATAGCCCTTTCCCTAAATTCTCTTCACTCCCAGTGCTTGCAAACTGCTAAAAACCGATGACCTGTGAGTTTATCATACTGCTTACTTTTTGCATCTTTATAAGCTTTAGTCAGTGAATGAAAAATTCCACAGCTTTTAGAAAAGTATCTTATGACAATTTTACCATTTTTATAGACATTGATGTTCATGAGAAATTCTGATTGTTAGAGAATTGATAAGTAAAATGAACAACTGATTATTTGTCTTTATATAAAATATTTTCTATTTCTAGGAAACATTATATGCTATTGGCCATTACAATTTAAAATAATAGGTATTTAGGGGGTTGAATGTTGTTGCAGCAGTAAAATGCAATGTTCTGCAAGGCTGGTCCACATAGGAAGGTTCTAGGTTCATTTTCAGAGACTTCTTTGAATACACCAAGTAAGTGCATTCTCACAATCCAGTGTGGAAACCTGTTGGGAGTGTTGTATTTCTGTCTCTCTCTTTGTCTCTTTTGCTCATAGAAAAGAAAATAAATCTTAAAAACATAATAATAATGGGCATCTAATACTAGGGAAAAATAATACAATGTGAATAACAGATATTTAGTCCAATTTACAACTTATTTATATTAAATATGAAGTAAATAAGGATGTCAAATTAATATTAAATAATAGTACAATTAATATTAAATAAGAGATGTTGCAAATAAATGCTTTTTAGGAAAAAAAACTTTATTTCAATGAATGTTTAGATTTCAGTCTTAATTTCTTCAATAGTTTGAAAGTCATTCAGCAATAAATTGTTTAGTTTCCATGATTTTATGTATTTACAAAGGCTCTTTCTGTGGTTGAATTCAAGTTTAATTCTGTTGTGGTCAGAGAAGATACTGGGTATAGTTTGTATACTTTTAAATTTATATAGGCTTGTTTTATGGCCTATTATGTGGTCATTTGAAAATGTTCCATGTAGAGATGAGAAAAAAGTGTATTTCAGTTACTGGATGGAATGCTCTAGATATGTCTGTCAGGTCTATTTGCTTTATGGTACCAATTAGTTCCTGTGTCTCTTTATTTATTTTTTGTCTAGATAATCTGTCCAGTGGTGACAGTGGGTGTAGATATGTTACCGAACTCAAATCAGGTTCGCTCACCCAAGCGCTATAAAACCAAGCCATAGGCACATGGTTGTGATGAAGGAAAGTACAGCTTTATTGCAAAGCGCAAAGCAAGGAGAGCGGGCAGCTCATGCTGAAAAGACCAGGTCTCCTCGAGATGTTCCCCACATGCGTTTTTAAGGGCAAAATTAGTGGTAGAGGTCCCAGGCGCAAGATCAGTTCAGTGATTGGTTCAAGAGGGTGTGATCAGCTCCTGGGCATTCTTGATTGGTGAGGCCTTAGATAATCAAATTCCTCTTCAAGTGTCTGGAACCATTCAGCCTGGAGTCTCTGAGCTCACAACCAGCAGTTTCCAGTCTACAAACATCTTACATATTGAAATGAAAACCTCCTTTCCTTTAAGTGAGAGTTTTAGAGGTCAAATGGCCCTCACTCATGGTCCATGTTGGTCATTATCATAACCAAAGTCTGAAGACTTACTCCTTACTCTGGGCCATTACAATGCAAATGGACTTTATATATTTCAGGAACCCTAGAAAATACATTAGGGGGTTCTTGCTCTGTTTCAGGTATCTCCAACAATTAGTGTGTTGCAGTCATATCTCCCTTTAGATCTAGTAGTCTTTCTTTTACATATTTAGATGTCCTGTCCATAAATACTTATGATTGTTATATCTTCTTGATGAATTAATACTTTTAGAACTATGTAGTCTTCTCCTTTGTCTCTTCTTACGTTTATAATCTTAAAGTCTGTTTTATCTGATACCAGTAGTGCAACTCCTGCCTTTTTTCATTTCTGTTTTCATCAAATGACTTTTTCTAGCCCTTCATTTTCAGTCTATGTATATTTTTGTCAAGGAGGTGTCTTTTTTGTAAGCAACATATGGAGGGTTTCAGTTTTTTTCATCCTTTGAGCCACTCTGTGTCTTTTAGTTAAGAGAATTTAATCTATTAACATTCAAGGTTATTATCAATATATCTGAACTTAACCTTGTCATTTTTCTTTTTTTTCCTATTTGTTTTGTGTTCTCTTGCTTCTATTTATCTCCCTTTAGAATAACAGGTGAAGTGTTCCCTTAAGTATTTCCTGAAAGACTGGCCTTCTTTTGGTGAATTCTTTCAGCTTTTGTGTCTATCTGGGTATGATTTTATTTCTCCTTCCCATTTAAAGGATAGTCTCATCCATCCAATATAGTATTCTTGGCTGATTGTTTTGCTTTGAGAATTTTAAATATGTCTTCCTTTTTTAATTTTTTTCCAACTGCGTTGTTTCAGTTGAGAGGTCCACTGTTAGTGTAATGGAGCAAACTTTGTAAGTAACCTGGTGTTTCTCTCTTGTCCTTTTTGAATATTGTCTTTGTCTCTGATTTTTATTAGTTTTGTTATGATGTGCCTTGGAGAGGATCTTCTTATGTTAAATCTATGCGGTATTCTTTGTACTTCCTGGATTTGGAGTTCCATATGCCTCTCTAAATTGAGAAAGTTTTCAACTAATATATGATAAGAGAGATTTTCTAAGTCTTTACTCATCTTTTCACCTTCTGGAATACCTATAATGTGAATATTCAGCCATTAATTGTGTCTAGGATTTTCTATATGTTGACCTATTTTTACATTCTTCTTATTGCTTGGACTAAGTCAGAAACTTTGTTTTCAAGGTCAGAGATTCTTTCTTCTGCATGGCCTAATCTGTTGTTAATACTTTTAAGGAAGGTTTTGACCTCCTACATTGTATTCTTTAACTCCAAAAGTTATGTTTGATTCTTTTTTTAGGATGTCTCTCTATGCAGTTCTTCCTTCAAGTCACGGAATGACTTTCTCATCTCCTGAATTCATTTATCTGTTTTCTCTTATATCTCACTGAGTTTAGTTACAATAACTATTGCAATTCTTTTTCTGACATTCCTGTAATTTCCTGTGTTTTGTCCATTACTGATATGGAGCTATTGCATTCCTTTGGAGGGGAAGTATTTTCTGCCTTTTTTCATATTTCTTGAAGCTCTGCTGTGATTTCTGGACATTTAGTGATTAATTCACTTCTTTTGGATTTACACGGAGAAATTCCTGTTTTTGTTTGTTTGTTTGTTTGTTTGTTTTTGGCTGGGGTGAGCATGGAGAGAATATTCCTGCAGGGCCACACCATGTTCAGATGTTTTGGCTACATGATCTGATCCCTAGCAGCTGAATGTTGAACAGAGAAGCTCGGGTGTATGGTATAGCACAGCACAGGCTGAAGCAGTGGTTTCTTCAACAACCTAGGCTCAGGAAGGGACTTTATAGGTGAGCTGGAATCAGATGTCCCTAGAATTACTTATTATCACATTGTAAATTGTAATCTGTATCATACTTTGTGTTATAGTATTTTTTTCAATTATTGACTCTGTTACTAAACACATATGAAAATATATTTAATATTTAGGAGGTGAAATCATGATAAAATAAATGATACAGAAAGTGATGCAGAAGTAAGTAATATAAAGAGAGCAGATTGACCTTTTATACTGTCTCATTAATATAAAAATCAACTGAAGTAATCCCTAACTTTAGGGCATCATCATTGGATAAATAACAACAGTATTCAGTTAGTAGTAATTTCTTTGTAAAGTAGTTTTCTTGATATTCT